ACTCAATGCAGCTACCATTAAGAATGTCGAACCATTGCCTAGAATAGATGACCTATTAGACAGGGTGCTGCAAGTATTCTCCAAGATCGGGATACCACCAGATAGAGCTACAGCCCAAAGACCAGCACAAGATGGCCTTTAGAACATGCTACGACCACTATGACTTCGTGGTCATGCCATTTGGGCTGACAAACGCCCCTGCTACTTTTCAAAAGATGCATGAACAACCTCTTTAGAGCTTGGCTTGATATGTTTGTAGTTGTATATTTAGATGACATTTTGATTTTGAGCAAGACGCTAGAGGAGCATCGGCAACACCTTAGTCTAGTCCCAGAGAAGTTGTTTGTGATGCCAAGTTTAACTTGAATCCGAAGAAGTGGGCCAAGCGCCAAGTGTTGTATCTTGGGAATATACTTGATGGAGATGGAGTCCAACCGGAAGACGCGAAGACAGCAGCAATTAGAGACTGGCCAACCCCACATACGCTTACGGAACTACGGTCGTTCCTAGGAATGGCCAATTATTACAGGAAGTTTGCTTAAGACTTCACTTCCATCGCTGCACCATTGCGTAAGTTGTTGCACAAAGAAACCGTGTGGAAGTGGGATAAGCACTGCACTTTTGCGTTCAAGACACTCAAGAAGTGTTTAATCGAATACCCAGTCTTAAAAATCGCACACCCATCACTTTCGTTCATCGTCACGACTGACGCGAGCCAATATGAAATTGGCGCTGTACTCCGACAGAACGATGGAGAAGGATATAGGCCCGTCGAGTTCATGTCTTGTAGGCTGCCGAATAAGAAGGTCGCCGCCTCAACGTATGCGCATGAGTTGTTTGCACTTAGGGAGGCACTAAGTCATTGGCGACATTACCTCTCAAAATGACACTCTAAAGGCTACTCTGACCACAAGACACTTCGCTGGTTAAAGACCGAGGCCCGGATAACACCTAAGTTGACTAGATGGGCTGGGGAGATTGGCCAATTTGACTTCGAGTTGCAGCCCGTGATGGGCAAGAATAATGTCGTTGCTGCCGCACGAAGTAGACACACAGATTTTTCTGGTGCCATAGTGACCTATCTTGATGCTGGTACCGAACTGTCACATTAGATCAAGGCTGCATACGCAGATGATCCAATCTACAACAACTAATTAGAAAGGTGCAGACTGCACCTCGTGAAGTCCCAGAATATAGAATGGTCCAGGGTCTGTTGTTCAAAAAGACAGATGTGCACGATAGGCTTTGCATCCCGAACAATGAGAAGATCCGCAGTTTGATCCTAGGGGAATGCCACCACACCGAGGGCCACTTCGGTCGGAGGAAGACATACGCTAATCTCCTCCGGTCCTACACGTGGGTCGGAATGAAACACAACTGCATTGCTTACATCCAAGGCTGCAAAGTGTGCCAATGGAATAAGAGTTTCGCGGAGTTCTTTAATTACTGGGTCAAAGACTTCGGACACCGTTTGACTATAGTTAATGATAGAGATACTCGGTTCACAGGCAAGCACTGGCGGCAACGAATGAAAGTCTACGGATCCCAATTGACTATGTCATCAAGCAAGCACCCAGAGACTAACGGACGAACCGAGCAGATGAATAAGTTGCTACAGCAACGGTGCGAATGTACATTAGACCAGACCAGCTTGATTGGGATGAACATCTTTCCAAAGTGGCATGCGCGTACCACAACTTTGCGCATTTGGCCCCATCACGCACACCAAACAAGCTGCACAAAGGTTCGCAACCCAGGCGTCCGATCGACTGTCTGAATCCGGAGCAAGTTTAGAGACTGCCACCCGGTACTAGGGAATTTGTTATACAGTAAGAGAAGGATCTTGAACGAGCCAAGAAGAACATTCGGAAGGCCCAACACCAGATGGTAGAGCAGGCTAACAAACACCGCAGACCGTCGCAGTTTGTTCTCGGTGATCTGGTATGGGATAAGTGGAAGGAGTTTGTTCCAGAGGAGGGGATATCGCAGAAGTTGCTGCCCGCGTATAGTGGACCATGGCAGATTCTTGATGTCATTGGCGATGCAGATGGTCCCTCCTATACAGTTGAGATTCCACCGCCTCTGCGCACTTACCCGGTCGTCCATGCTTCTAAGTTGCTTCCCTGTGTCACCAACAACCAGTTCCCCTCACGAAGGTCTATGATACCACCTGACATGAATGATAAATACAATGTAGACCGTAAAGACACATATAGAACAGGACACAGGGGGAGACCACAGCGTACAAGGTCAGATTTGCTTACCAAGAACCTGAAGAAGGCCGCTGGTTTACAAGGAATGAACTAATAGATATTGCCCCACACATAGTTTCCTATTATGAGAGGGCACGCAGAGGAATTAACATTGTAGACCGGTAAAGTTAGCAACTTTCTTGCGGCACCTCGAAATTAGGCCGGCGGGAGTGAAAGGATTTTGCGTTGCAGACCCCTGAAGTCCCCGTCCCAGGGTCCCAAATTGTCCCAGTCCCAGTTGGGCCCAGTACCAGATGGTCCCAATCCCACCTGTCACAGGAGGTGATTCCCAGGTAGGGTCGCTAGGGTCCTTGGGTCCGTAGGAGGCCGAAACCTCGTAAGTCGATGTTGGGCCGGTACCATCCATGCAAACCGGTAAAAGTCCAACCGGTATCTGACAGGAAAAGTCCAGACCCAAAGTCCAATTTTGGAGTAGCATCCCAGGAAAAGTCTGGAAGGTACCAGGCCACCAAAATTCATGCAGCAGACAGGCCACGGGCAACCAGTACCGGTCAGAAGCAAACCAAGGCCAAGTCAAGCAACTATTAATAGCTGCTACAGTGCAGCTCAGATCATCTATTGTCCTGCGTGAGTTGCGGAAGCGCTGCTGGTTGCTTGTGCGACCTCACAGCCTGGGTTGTGCGCCAGAGGGCCTGCTTGGCGGTGCACCAGTTAGGGTTGAGTAAAGAGAAGGCGACCATAGCTGCCATAACTGAAGTTGTAGCTGAAGTAGGGCGGATGTATCCAGGGTTACGATCCAAGTAGTCACAGATAGGGAGCAAGAGAGGGAGGGAGAGAGAGAGAGGCAGAGTGATACAAGTATTGAGAGAGCAACCAGAGAATAGAATGGAGAGAAGAGAGAGGGAGAGAGAGAACGGAGAACACTCGTGGTTAGTAGGTGGTGTCATTTTCGGCGAGTCAAATTCTTTTTTTCGGCTTTTTTTGCCTGTTTGTTTTTTTTATGTGTGTATTGTGAGCCTGCATAGTTTGGTTGCAAAAGTTTCGATGACTTTGCTTGTAGTGATGCGGGAAAAAACCCCGAATTTTGGGCCTTCCATTAACCGCGTGTCCACTCGTGGTGTCACGGAGAAAAGACAGAGAGAGAAGGATAGCCGCTACCTGATGAAGTTGTTTGCATGAGCTGATGAGCGCTGATTATCTGAACTCTGATTTTGTATAATATGAGTATCATTGAAGTTTCCGAGCTGCACTGATTTGGTGTCCATTGGTGTGAATCTTCGTGTGAGCTTCCATTGTGCATGTTGTGATGCGATGGAATCTGAACGGGGCATTGCATGTCAAACACAGCACAACTATGCATGGTAACCGCCTGGACGTCCGGACCGGGTTCCAGACAGCCCGGTGTCCAGTGTCCGGTCCCCATGTCCGGATGGAGGCCCCTGAGGCAAAAATCAAAAAAAAAAAAAGGGCGGTCCACGACGTTTGTCGGGTCCTAGCCGCCCCTCGAAAAATAACGGGGTGATTTTTAAG